CCTCATGTAAAACTGAACCTTATTGTGCGTCCTCATGTAAAACTGAACCTTATTGTGCGTCCTCATGTAAAACTTGATTTTATTGAAGACAGCTTTTATGTGCGGAAACATCTGTTAGCTGAGTTCTTTCACAGATCTTAAAATATAACGTTGATAAAGGGAAACATCGGCTCATGTAGATACGTAGATCTTGAAAGTAGAGTTGTTAAAAACTTGAAAATAGCGTTGATAACTGAACCAATTGTTGGTTATTTTAAGATCTGTGCAAGAACTCAGCTAACAGATGTTTCTGTATATCAAAATGATAATTGAATGTTAACTTTAGTAGCCACTTGAGTATATTGTAACCTACTTGAAATTAAGAACGTATTAGCCACATAGCGAAAGATGTTTTTGATGCTGGCCCCAACAGACATAGAACCAATAGTAATAATTCTTTAATAACTGCTTATACAGTCTGTAAAACAATGTGCAACAGTAGCCCATGTTGTACTTTAGAGAACTGGATGAAAATTATTGGTTTTGTCTCCTCTATAGGAAACGTTAAAACAATTAACAATTTACACGTTAAAACTCTTACTACTATTATAACAGAATACAATTTCAAAAGCTAACATTTTAGAGAAATTACAACATTTTATTACTGAAAGTATTAAAACACTAACTAATTGTTATAATTAAACATACTGAAAACATGGATTTACAACTGTAGGATGTATAACCTCATTAATAACGTAAGCAAACGTGAGAAGTGAATTCCATTTTGGTCACTAAGATGTAATTGATCTGTTTAACAAGTCATATTAAATAATCTGTAATTGGCTGACAAGCTCTTTGCCGTTAGATTTAACAATGTCAGAAAGTTCTTTAATTACTTGAGAATATGAAAACAGAATATTTAATAAACTAGTAACAAATAACACTACTATTATTCATTTAAAAACTGTTATTCAATAATAGTAAAAAAGCCTGTACCTTCATTACTGGTGTTGGTTGAGAAGTGCTGATAGTAAGATGGTTAAGGGGGTTCTGATGTGCAGAGTTTTGAGGGATAGCACTAGCTAACATGGTGTTGTGTGTCATGCCACTTGTTGAAACACCACTGGTAGGCATGCGCAGTGATCCAGGACTGTTCAGAGTCATGTGAGGACCATTCATGACTCCTCCGTCAAGTTGTTGCTGTGTTTGGTAAGAATGCTGTAACTGAGACTGGGTAAACTTGGGTGGATGATTCGGTTGTTGCTGCTGCAGGTGTATTGGTATACTGTTTGTTGTAATGGTGTCCAACAACTTTCCCTGGGGGGTTACTAGTCCACTTTTATTGACCCCTGAAACCATACTCCCCGCTGGATTAATACCAATCGACATATTCGACCCACTGCTCAACAGCGTGTTTGGTAAAGCTGTTACGTTCACAGAGCTCATGGTGTGATTGTGAACCACACTAGACACCGGAGTCCCTGCTCTACTACCAATTATACCAGGAGAGGACATGTTTGAATGAGGACTCTGTACATGTAACACATTAGGATTAGAAATTGTGTGGTTGCTAGATATTCCTGTATGACTCTTGGAACTCAGAAGTGCACCATGGCTCACCACTGCCTTGTTTTGTAGTAGATGGGACAACTGCTGTGGTCTAACACCAATATCTCCCTGGTTCAGTGGTGAGTCGAGAGCACCGTTCTGCATGTTTTGACCGGAGCGAGAGCTGGATGGCAACTGATAAGTCTGATCAGAACCCATATTTGAAGCATCCAACTCTTCTGGAAGTTCCTTCTCCAAATCCCACAGGTTTCCCAAATTGAAATCTGGAAAAAAATATATATACTTATATATAAAAATTAAATAACTTCACTAATTTAAAGAAAAGTGTGCAATAATCAACTTATCTATACCTCTAATGATAGCATCTTTATAAAAATCAAGGCCTAAAAATAAGAGATGCATATATAAGACAAGTAAAGCTAAGATACAAGCTAAAATCTGAATGTTTAGTATTAGGAAGCTGACTGTAGGCAAAATTTGACAAAATGGACATTCAAAGAAAGATCCTAAAAGATAGCGTACACCTTCTGAACATGACACAACAAAATAAAATACCAACAGTTTACACAACCTTCATTTAAGAGGGAGTACTGGAAAACACAGTAATTATTAATCAATATAACCTTACTGGCTCAGCAGTAAGCAATCACTAAAAACCAGGTTTTAATACACATAGTAGGCACAGCACAGATAGCCCATTGTGTAGCTTAACAAAAAACAATATGACATGCATTTTCAATGATAATCTTAATTATGTAAATATAATAGGACTGTCCGTTGTCTGTCCATGTGGAGGTACATACAAATTTTCAGTTTTGCATTTGTACCCCCACTTTACCCCCTGCTGATGGATCTTCATCAACTTTAGCATAAAGATGTGTTGGATCCATGTGGAGATACATGCCAACTTGTGGTTTTGCAGTCTTTATGGGCATTTTTTACAATTACATATAACGAAAGCAACTTTTCATGTCCTTTCGATTATCATGAATTTACATAACTTTCGTCCAGTGGACGGGTACTCCAACTATTTATCAATAACGAAAGATAATATCATTTTAAATGTATCAATAATTATTTTAATAACACAAATGATTGTAACAATTGAATATATTTCAAAGAAAAGAAAGTGTGTACAGTAGTCTTGATGTTAATTTTTATTGTGAAAAATACTATTTTTGAATTAAAAAACAATACAAAAGTTTCATCATCATAATAATGAGAATTTTTATCTTAATTTTAGGTGTTTATGTTTTAAGATGTTGTCTATTAACATTTAGATAATAATATCTAATGAATTTTTA